TAATGAGGATTTCAAAAACAAGGCTCCCGATCCTTTCAGGTGGCACCTGAGAAGCCAGTCCTGAGAGAGGAGACAGAAATTGCAAAGATTTAAAGTACATAACAGCAAATTAAACAAACAAAAAACCCTCTTACCCATATTCCCACAGCCACGTTCAAGGCAAAATAAGCCACGATGACAAGAATGTCAGCAACATTGAACGGCTGCAGAGGGGTAACTGATCCAGCGGTGGAATTGTCACCCATCATCCCGACGTTCCCTGCCCAGCCCCAGAGAAAGCAGCAGAGTGTCAGAGAGACAATCACTGACTTGGTAACTGATTAGCTTGCCACTTGCAGGAATTGATCATTAAACAAGCCAGAGCTGGGATTTTTGCTTTGCGAAGTAGTTTGTGTGGACAGACGGGTTGTCAAAGTACAGCCCGGCTTCTGCCTCCCTCCCTCTTTCTGCTAACATATGGCCACTCAGAGCTCCAGGAACCCAAAGCCAAGTCCAGGGAGTTAGGCAGTTGTTGAGCTGCAAACATGATTTCTGGCTGTCTGCAATCAACAGAACGTAAACTGGCTCCACTTATGCCCAGCCTTGAATTGCGATGCCCTGAGAGTGATAAATCTTGGAGGCATGTTCCTCAGGTATTTAACCACGGGCTTTACTTTGCTGTTTCTCAAGGCATAGCACGATTTAGTCATTCTCTCCTTCTTCACTCTGTTTCCAAGTGGAGGAGGAAAGCTTATGTGACAGAACAAAGGAGGTATTACAAGCAGCAATGACCTGATCTAAACGTGTCCTGCTTTAGCTTCAGACCACTGGATCTCACATTGTGGTCCTGATGACATACAGAATGAAACGTTTTGGCTGCAGTGGGGAGCAGTGGGTCTCAGAGCATCTCTCTCTCACAAAGCGATCCACAGAACAATAAAGTTTGAAACAGAGCAGACAGTGCAATGGCACTAGAACAACCATCAAGGGTTTTGTCGAAGACTCATTTCTCAATGAACGTGTCTGCTGATGAGATAATCCCCTCCAGGGTACAGTTGTGGGAGAATAAGTGTGCTAAGGCCAACATTTTCAAATTTGGGTGCCAACAGCTAAGCCCCTAAATAAATAGGCTGAATGTTACGGGGGTGGAGAACTTCTGGTGGCCACTGACTTTACTGGTTTGAAAACATTGTTCTGGGACCACACATTTCCCTCCAGCACTACATTCCGTGGTTGTAAGATTTACCATGGGAGTATTGTGATATCACAAAAGGCTAAAGGTGAAACCAGCAGCAGCCGCAAAGACACAACTTCTCTTCGCTCACAACACCCTGGCAATTGCCATGGTAGGAAAGCAAAACCACACACATTTCATGAGTCTGTCACAATTTCACTTGAAAATGACAGGGCCCTGAAATCAAACTTTGTGGATTCCTTTGTCATAAAAGGACAGTCAAAGTAAAGCCAAGGGACCAGACACACTAACAGAGTCCCGAAGTCCAGTCTGCAGCCATCTTCAATTCTACTACGGAGCTGCAGCTTGAAGACACTACAAATGCCAGACCACACCACTCCGTCTCCATTCTGCTCAGAGAGCAGATCAACTAGATTTCTGTGCCTCTTCTCCACTCCAGCTACTTTCCCCCCCCAAGAGGATGGGGCTCCAAATACCAGTTCCTGTATTAAAAGGACCAGTCTTTCCATTTGATTCACCCTGAGCCTCATAAATACAAACAATATTCATTTTTCTGCCCTGAACTGTTGAGTACTGCATTGCTGTGCACAGGAATTACCGATAGAGGTGACTATAGTTTAGTGCGGAGTAATGCCCATAGATAGGACTGCAAGATTATAATGAGAAATGCTTGCTCTCCTATATGTGTGATAACACTTATTAATCAAACTGTTTTATGCTTTGAATGCTTAGCCAACAGACTCCGTTTTACTTAAGATAGTGCTGTACATTATAATCAGATACCTTAGGGTTTAATTAATAAAGTGTAGAGCAATTACTCATCTGAATAGATTATCAGACCATCTTTCCAACACTTTGACATAGTCACTGAAGTGCCTAGGGTATTTGCGACTCACTTCTGTAAATGTTTGTGTGCATACTCTTCCTGTTTGACTAAGTTTTAACAGGCCATACCCTTGCTGGCCAATTACTATATAACCTGCATTAATACACTTCGAGCCCATGTAAGTGTTACTATGTCAACTTGGTGTAACTAGTAACACCGCTAAATTGCTTAATAATCTACTTTTGTTAAAGTATAACCTAGGTACAATGCTGTATTTTGACATCTGCCACATTTCTGGACAGGAAATACAGAAATCAAATTTAGAGATAACAACCTTATGAAAGATAACCTCACAGGGTTATCACCGATTGCAGTAATATTTGACACAAAGGGATTTCCAAGTTTAAAAGCAAATAGAATTTGGCTTTATACTGCATCTCATCTACTCAATATACCTTACAAGGCAAATGGTAATGGACTGACTGCTTGCAAATACAGAATTCTAACCTCATCAAAGGCTCATTCATGCCCTTCGATGTTAGGAAGGCCTCTCTCTCTTTGCTGGAGAGAAAGTGACAGCAAAGGTGATCTTTCACTTCTCTCTGGCACTGCCAAAGACTGTTTGCAGCCATTTTCAAGGCATAATAAATTAGAGATTGGCCTGAAACAAAACCCCAGATTCAAATTCCAAACTCATTCTCCCTCTTACTGGTCAAAACAAGTCCCTAGATGCAAATACAACCAACTTGGGAGCTCAAAATCCAGATCCAAATCCAAAATTTACCATCGCCGGTAAATCTATTATAGGAGGGCTGGTAGCACCACCTATTATGATTGCCTGACACTTCCCATTATAAATCCCTATTTTTGGTTGCTTGGAAAGATTAGATTTTTATCAGCAAATGCTGGTAAACGTCAATTTCACTGTAAACACACAAACCAATGAAAAAATATCTCCTTAGATAACAATCATAATTAACAGATAGGCAAAGTAAGAAAAATGATGCCTGAACTTAAGAGTTTAAATTCGCGTAGGGCCAGGTAGGCAGAGCTTCAGAGTCTCAATGTGTGGATGAGACGATGGTGTAGAGAGGAGGGGTTTAGATTTATTAGGAACTGTGGAAACTTTTGGGATGGGGGAGCCTATACAGGAAGGATGGGCTCCATCTAAACCAAAGTGGATCCAGACTGCTGGCACTTAACATTAAAAAGGTTGCAGAGCAGTTTTTAAACTAAGAGATGGGGGAAAGCCGACTGCTGCAGAGGAGCACGTGGATCGGACAGAGACTTCTCTTAGAGGAGAGTCTATTGATAGAGATTCTCTAGGTTTTAGTCAGGAGGAGAGGATGGAGGAGGATAATGTAAGGGCCAGATCAGATGAGAAACATTCACATAAAAAAGAATCTGACACATCAGAAAAGGGCAGACAAATAAACAGTGACAAGTTTTTAAAGTGCTTGTACACAAATGCTAGAAGTCTAAATAAGATGGGTGAACTAGAGTGCCTCGTGTTAAAGGAGGATATTGATATAATAGGCATCACAGAAACCTGGTGGAGTGAGGACAATCAATGGGACACAATCATTCCGGGGTACAAAATATATCGGAAGGACAGAACAGGTCGTGCCGGGGGTGGGAAGTGGCACTATATGTGAAAGAAAATGTAGAATCAAATGAAGTAAAAATCTTAAATGAATCCACGTTCCATAGAATCGCTATGGATAGTAATTCCATGCTCTACTAAGAATAGAACAGTAGGGATCTATTATCGACCACCTGACCAAGACAGTGATAGTGACTCTGAAATGCTAAGGGAGATTAGAGAGGCTATCAAAATAAAGAACTCAATAATAGTGGGGGATTTCAATTATCCCCATATTGACTGGGTACATGTCACCTCAGGACGAAATGCAGAGACAAAATTTCTCGATACTTTAAATGACTGCTTCTTGGAGCAGCTGGTACAGGAACCCACAAGGGGAGAGGCAATTCTCGATTTAGTCCTGAGTGGAGTGCAGGATCTGGTCCAAGAGGTAACTATAACAGGACCGTTTGGAAATAGTGACCATAATACAACAACATTTAACACTCCTCAGTGGGGTCCTTTAAGCTTCATGACTCTCATACATTGTCTAAACTGACTGTGTATAAACTCACCACTACTCCTCCCTCCAGAGTATGCCAAACTTGCTCAAGGCTCCTGGTACCAGCACAATTCAAGGGCTTGGTGATTTAAGCAGTGGTAGAGGCCTGTGTTTCTATTCCATAATATAAATGGCCTGAAACCTAAGATCAGAACCCAGTGTTGTTGCTTTGCATGCCTGTCTAGTCCAACCCTCCTCGCACACTGGCAGGCTGGAAAAAAACCCAAGGAAGCACTATTTTCTTGTTTTTGACACAATGACTCATCCCTAATGAAGCATAGCAATATTTATTTGCCATTGCCTGTAAACAGCACTCAAAAAGAGTACTCAGCAAATGAATGGCTCCAGACTGATCTAATGAAGCATGTGTGGAAAACACACATGTAGGTAATGGAGGTTAAGGAAGGCCAAGCCTTCCAAGTTACAAACAGGTTGGTCAACAGCAAGACATGGAGCAGAAAAAGATACCATGACAGTGAATAATAAATAAGGTATATATTTATTATAGATGAGCCCTGTCTGTAAAGTACCTCGCACACCTCTGGTGCCATATAAACTACATACTATTGTCTCTCTATACAATTAGTGAAGTATGGCAGTTCAACCAAAAAGTGGTAATATATTTGTTTCCTTCCCCTTCACCCCCTTTGCTCTTTTACAGTAAAGCAGCAACAATATAAAGCCAATTACCTTCCCTAATGTTTATGCACGCTCAGCTTATATTAGTAAGGAAAATGTACCAAATGTACCAAACCTTACAACTTTGTTCAACATCGCAACACCCCCTAATGGCAACTTTTGATAGGGCCACATTCTGAAATGCAAGTAACTACTGAATAAACATTTTTTAAAAAGCTCACACAAAACAAATCTTTATTCTTTGTTGCAGAAAATAAATACAGGTGCATATTTCATATGCTTTTCTATAAAAGCACTTCTACAAAATGTCACTTAACTGCATACAACAGTACAACCTTTTTGGCTTTTAAAATGCAAATATTATACAGTCACTTCATTTTATCAACTTTTTAAAGCACTTGTAGCAAGCAGCTTTGGAAAAGGAATGTTTAGTTTATGAGCTAAATTCTTGCTTCAAGTGTTTGTTTTCCATATATAGTGCAACTAACCTAAAAGCAACTAGAACAACTTTTTTTTCTCTTTTTGGAAAACGTTTGGGGTCTTTTTCAAAAACTGCAAAGAAAAATAGCTCTTGAAATCTGGTCTAACTTCAAATTTAAACCAAGAAAAACAACAAAACAGAAATGACTCAATTGAAATAGTAAGGTAAGCATGATGCTTCACAGCTTGTTTTCTATACAATTCCAGTTTGGCCCTTGGTTTTTCTTTAGAATAAAAATAAAAGATTAATCATCTAGTCCTATATTTCTGAAAAGGTAAGACATGGACTCCCCATTATGGATTCTGCGAATGGCTTCTGAGAGGATCATACTGATATCCACGGTCTTAATTTTGGGACACTGGAGTTTTTGTATTTCATGTGGGATCGTGTTGGTTACAACAACCTAGAGAGAGAAAGAGAGAAACCGTCACAGTAGAAATGATTTTTCCCTGATCTTTTCCCTTCAGTTTCTGATCTGCACCCTATCACATCAGAGTCTGAAAAGGAAAGTTCTACCCTTCAGATCCCGAGAAAGTTAAATGGTTGATGCAAAGCAGGATCTCCTTTTGTGACTGTTTATTGACAGGATTATAGCCTTATGAATGGTTATACATTGCTGTTGGATGCCTACCTACTCACCTATCTACGAATGCTAAAGAAACAGTCCTTCCTTGCCTTCATCCTGTCAAACACGCACAAGGGGATGCACTCTTAATTACTCTTCACTTAAGGAGAATCTCCATATGTTGACAATCCTTTACCTAGGCTCTTATTATTATGCTGCACCCATCACTAAAGTATTCATGAAGACTTGAAAAAAAGGAATAATTATATGTTAAAACCTTAATCTGTTCTGAAAAGTGAAGCCAGGAACAAACAGCCACAGTATTGTTCCTGTAATTTGTAATTGATATTGTAATTAGTAATAATCCATATTAAAAATTTTAGGAGCCAAGCCAGCGGGGATTTTAAAGCTGGCGCAATTTTCTGAAGAGTTTTCATCATTTTCATTTGCTTCTGAACTTTGAAGCTAGCCCATCCTGCCCACACTTACTTCATCAATAGCAGACTCTTCTATCAACCTGGGAGCATCTGAAGACAGCAGGCCGTGGGTCGCCATTACAAAAATCTTGTATGCTCCCCTTTCCTTGAGAGTCTCTGCTGCAGCGAGGAAGCTGTCAACATCATCTATAATGTCATCCTGTCAAAATAAGACCAGCCCAATGAAGACTCCACACTTCCGCAAACAGGCCATGCAACAGAGGCAGACAGATCTAGTGTAATTCTACTGGTGTCAAGGCAGTAGATTTCTCTAGTCTACATACAAACCATATTATTAATTTACTGAAAGTAACCCTTACTATCCTATATGGTGGCTCAAGGAACAGAGTGTGGGAGAGGAGAATTGCCACAGCTCTAAACATGACACCAAAGACTCCCCTATAGAAAAAGTTACTCCAAACATTAAAATCTCAAATTAATAACATTTTATATTAAAAACCCAAAGAATAATGCAATTTCTCCAGTGTCCTTTAAGACAACATCAGTCTTTATGTCATTGGCACTTCTAGATCTGCAGTGTTAATATTCATGATACTTTGTTTCTTTGAAATGATGCAACAGAGTCCAGCTACCAGGCTTTCACCTTATGAAAACTCTCTTGGACAGAGTTTCAGGTGACCCATTCAGTAGATTCTGGCCCTGATAGTTCCTGCTTTTCTGTGTCTCTCACTGTGTATTTTGGACAATTAATTGCAGTGTTCTTCACTAAAGCACAAGAGGATTTTTAAAACCTATACAGCAAGATTCAGTCATGTAACCAGGAGGGTGCATGAGGGAAGAAACTAAGCATTTAAAAAAAAAAATCCCAGAATGTATTTACTAATAAAACAATAATAAATATTCCCACAAGACAGTTAAAAACCTGGAATATTTTTTTATTTTTGAACTTTGAAATTCAACAAGGGATAAAACCTTTGATTTGAAAAAGATGTGGAAAGACTTCAGTTAAAAGACAAAACGACCCTTAATTCATGGTGATGTACAGAGACCCCAAAACTTACAGTCGTCATATAAAGCTTTTCCAAATCACCTCAATCATTACCCAAACTTTAGTTAATATGGCAAAGAAACTGGTCCATCCTTTCTTCCATTTTATTCTTATATATGATTTTTAGTCCTTTAATATCTTGCATGCAGCCCTGCTAACAACTATTAACTGTAGAAGATAATTTCTAACCATCCCTTTTTTCTTCACTCTGCCTTCCCCAACACACGGACGTCCTCCTGGCTTTTAATACAGGAGCAGTGCCCAGAGAGTCTATTAAAGTACAAGAATTGGATTAACCAATCAGTTTCAGAAGTTACACCAGAAATCTTCATCAGCAAATTACACTGGCAGAGAGAACTGGCACCATCATCAAGAACTAAAACAGCACTTAAGTATTTTATTAAAAAATAAAAAGACTTCAGAGAGATAGAAGGGAGTGATCCATTTTATTTTTAAACTCCCTCAAATGTCAACCTGTGTGTAATTGTTATTAAAAATTCTCTTGGTCATTTAAATTATGAAAGGGAAAAGAAAATTGAAATTAATGGCCTTAAATGCAATTTTTCCATTAAGGCTGAGCAGCTTGCCATTTTGCTCAAACTGATGAGCCACTACACACAATAACACCAATATTCTGAGCATAAGCTTCAGAGAAATCCAATGTATTTTAGCAACATACTCTACTCAATTATCTTCAAGTACTTTACTAACCTTAATTAACCTCTCTATTCCTGTAAAGTAACCTGCTAAACTCATTTTATTGAAGGGGCACAGAGATATTAAGTCCATAATCAAGGAGATTTATACTGCAATTTCAGTTGCCCCCAGTTAATAGAGCCTGTCAAGGGTATTAGGAAACCTCAGAGACAACCTAAATGTCTTCCTTATGTGCTTAGAATGTCCGTGTAGTGAGCAAACACCCAAACAAACAATCCATGTTTTTGCACTAGTTAAAAGTTTTAAATGCCAACAACTCAGCATTTAATAATGACCCTTCAAAAAGACACTGGCAAGATTTGTGGAAGGCCATTTCAAGCTTATTATAAAGAGAGAGAACTAGAGTGTGATGGGATTTTTAAAAAAAAATAACCAAACAAGTTGTTTTCAAAAGATTTCACTTATATTTGGGAACCAGGAAATTATTTTTTGAGGTTGAAAACAAAGATTGGATCTTCCACTGAATTCTTGCCCTGTGTATCCTTAATTTTGGGCCTGGTCTACACTAGGACTTTAATTCGGATTTAGCTGCGTTAATCCGAATTAACCCTTCACCCGTCCACACTACAGAGCCAGTTAATTCGAATTAAAGGGCACTTAAAATCGATTTCTGTACTCCACCTCGACGAGCGGAGTAGCGCCTAAATCGATTTTGTTAATTCGAATTAGGGTTAGTGTGGCCGCACACCACCGAATTACTGTGTTTAAATTAATGGGGTAGTGTGGCCGCACACCACCGAATTAATGTGGTTAAAAACCGAATTAATGTGCTTAGTGTGGCCGCGCACAATCGAATTTATACAACCTGTTTCCCAAATTCGAATTATCTAAATTCGGATTAATCCCGTAGTGTAGACATACCCTAAGACTAGAGTGACCACAAGCTCTCTTACATGTCAGGAGTTTGACAATTTTAGTTTAGATACAATAGGAAAACCTTCAAAATTAGCCCTACTTTAAAGGATACCCACAAATATACACACACATTCCTAAATTCAAAGCTATCAGAGTTCTGATCCAAAACATCCACTTACCACAATGATGGCTATTCTTCCTCCTACATCTCCAACAACTGTGATTGGTGGCTTTTCCTTTGGAATCAGCACTGATTAAAGGATTAAAAAAAAGGAAGAAGAAAAATTGTACATGCTAAAATGAAGGAGGAAATGCTTGCTTTGCACTACTCATCATTTCTCATTTTTTCCATAGATAAAAGCAAAGCAGCAACTGTCTCCACCATCATTGCTCTGCTTCCTTGGGCAGCAGAATCTCGTGCACAAGGCATTGAGTCTTTCCACATAGGATATCAACTATAAATATTTAGGCCCCGATCCTGCAAGTTACTCTGTATGAGTAGACACCTGCACAGAGCCCTCTGAAATCAGTGGGGTTCCAGATGGGCACAGGGATCCGCCCATAAAATAATTTGCAGGACTGGGTGCCTTAAAGGCATATGTTTGCTGTCTGCTAACTCAAGCCAGTAAGTCTTGTATGCAGTGCCATTTGTACAGTAAAATTTAAGAATGCTGTGCTGACATTCAATTCCTAGGGAGGAACTGGGATTTCTGGGCTCAACAATGGTGTAAAATGGATATGAAAAAACGGTTACTTTCCTGCACAGTAACTGGTATTCTTTGAGATGTGTTGGCCACATAGTCATTCCACTGTAGGGGTGTGTGTGCCCGATACACTGGAATCAGAGACTTTTGCCAGCAGTATCACTAGGTCAGGGGTTCTCAAACTTTTGTACTGGTGACTCCTTTCACACAGCAAGCCTCTGAGCGTGACCCTCCCCCCTTATAAATTAAAAACACGTTTTAATATATTTAACACCATTATAAATGCTGGAGGCGAAGCGGGTTTGGGGTGGAGGCTGACAGCTCGTGACCCCACATGTAATAACCTCGCGACCCCCTGAGGGGTCAAGACCCCCAGTTTGAGAACCCGTGCACTAGGTAGTGCCTGTGTCCCCGCTGTCCTCTTGCTCAGAGCCAAAGGGGACGTGGCTGCCACCTCCCTTTCCATTCCTTTGTATCCCCATCCAATACCCAAAGCCGTGGGGAATGTAGGATGGTCATGGAATGTATAGGTGCATGACATCTCAAAGAGCAACAGTTACTGTACAGATAAGTAAGATTTTTCTCCTTAAAGTGATTGTGCACATATACATTCCAATGTAGGTCACTCATCAGCAGTTCTCTTACAGGCTGGGACTCAGATTACTTGAAAAGAGACTGCACCACTGACTGGCTGAAATTGACACTACCCCAGGAACCCTGAGTGATAGCATGGTGTTTGGAAAAGATATGTACTTATGTCTATGTAGCAGCCTTGCAAATGTCCACTATTGGTATGTTACTCAGGAAGGCTGATGAAGTGGAACAAGCCCTAGTGCAATGGGCCATTATTCTCAGAGGAGACACAACCTTTACTAGATCATAGCAAAGCTTGATACAGTCAGACATCCAGTGAGATATATGATAAGATTAAAGGGAAGCCAGTTACAGCCTATTAGAAAAGGCTACAAAGAGTCTAAGAGATGACCTAAAAGATTGTTCAGGCCAGATGAAAGGATAGAACCCTTTGAACATCCAAAGTATAAAGCCTCTCCTCAGCTTTGCTACAGCGAGGCTTTGGAAAACATACTGTAAGAGGAACAGGTTTGCTGAGGTGGAGTGCAAATACTACCTTAGACATAAACTTACAGTGTGGCCTAAGAGAATCCTTGTCTTTGTGAAGGAAGGGTCCTGCTAACACCACCTGAAGCTCTGACATGATTCTCACAGACATAATCGCTATCAAAACCACTGTATTTACTGATGGCAATTACAAAGAATTTGTTGCTAGAGGTTTGAAGGGGGAACCCATTAAACGGGACAAAACTAAATTCAGGTCCCTTGAGTATATGTGTAAACAAGGCCTTTTAAAACCCTAGACACCAAAGGATGCGAAAAAAACAAAACCCATCTACTGGAAGATGTATCAGGAGATGGAGCCTAGATACACCCTTATAGAACAGATGGAGAGATCGGAAGATTTCAAATGTAGCAGGTAGTCGAATATATGCCTAATTTCAGCAGTGTTCAGCGACTACTGGCAAGACTCAGTTCAGGCTGAGAACATTTTCCAATTTGCTGCGCAAGTGCCCATGGCTGTATACTTCCCTTCTATGCACCAACCAGCATAGATGTCTTGGGAGCAAATTCTTTCCTCATTGCTAAACCAGAGATCAGACACACTATAAGTTCCTTGGCTCGGTTCTGAGATAGAAGGTCCTCAACCAGAGGCAGAGCTAGGGGAGGTCAAACTGATAGCTGATGTAAGTCGGTGTACCAGTATTGTTTTGGGCAGGCCAGCTCTACAAGGATTAAAGTTGGTTTGTCTCTTTTAGCTCCATGATCACCCTCAGAATTAGGAGGATGGAGAAAACATATATTGGAAGATCTGACCAAAGGAGAAGGAAAGTGTCTGTCAAAGAACCTGGATTGTGACCTGTTCTGGAGCAGAACTTCCTGCATTTGTTGTTCAGGGTGGTTGCAAAGACAGTGCTAGCATCGGTGCTTCCAACCAGACCCTGACTCGGCAGCAGAGAATTTTTTTTAAGCATCTTTTTATGAGAAAAGAAGTGCAGCCTATCAGCTTCAGAAGGCTTTGAGCGTGTCCCTTTTTAACATCCTCAAATGGGTTAGAAAAACCCGATATATAAGAAGTTACACACACACAAACTTACTTACTGGGTATCTCCAAACTGGGATGAATAGCAGCTACACTTTTGGCTGTAGGAGGTGAATGTCGACCATCTACCAAGTCAGATTCAGCATCTTGAGCTTCCCCATGAATCACAGCAATTCCTAGCCTCAAGCGCTCAGCAAATGACTGTGCCCTGCAGGAAAGAATACATTAAAGTTAAAATAACCCAAACACAACACAAGCCTATTTTTTGATTCTGAAATAGAGGAAAAATTGAATGATTCCTACAACTGAGGGAAAGAATGCAGGGACTACTTCTAGAAGACACCTTCTAATCATTGGGTTTAGAAAAGCTTGATAGTCCTGAAAGCATTTGCACTGGTCTTGCCAAAGTGTTTCAAGCCTTTGCAAGTAATAGAACAAGTGTTAATCATTAAGTTCAGATTACCATCTTGCTCCTTCCATTTTTCAGCTGCAACATGAATTAAAAATCAACTGTTAAAATCATATAAAATTATTGCCTTACACTCTTCTATTTCACTTCTGGCATGAGTTTAAGGGCCACAGTGCCATGACCCAATGTTACTAGAAATTAATGCTGTATACCACTGGAAAACTAGGGATCTCAAGTGAGCTTTTCCAACTGTATACATCCCTCATTTCTAGTCCTGAGGGAGCCTGAGATCTTGGGCCTTAAAACTGTCACTGGTCTCTCAGTGTTTTTGACAGTGGTCCATAACTGACTGCAGCAGATTCAAGACTTCAGATTAACTTGCATTCCCTTGGTAAACATTTTTTCAAATGGGAATAAGTAAAACCCAACTTAAAATTAAGTATACGAACACAAGAGGTGGACTAAATGGGACAGAATAACCTAGACAGTCTGGTTCGCAACTATGGATATCCTACAGGAATAACAAAACTTGAGTAATCAGCTATTTAACCTATTGCCAGATCATTTGTTGCAAGGCAAGACCTGAGTTTTAGTAAACTTGCAAAATGAAAAATATCCCTTACCATACACCATTTCTTCAGTTGCAATCTGGAATTACGTAAAGGGTCAATATTAAGGAGTTTAGGGTACAAATTTAGATGTGTTAAAAATAAAACTTTCAATGAAATTTTAAAACCTCAGTGAACTGTTTGATTGCTTAGGGGAAGAAAAGAAGGGAGATAGCAAGTGAAAAACTAGAACTGATAAGTCCAGTTTCATTGTACAAGCCAAGTGAAGTAGCATCACTGGCAAGCTAGGTTAGATTTAAGAGTCTTTCACTTACAATCTATGGAGTCAATAAGGATTTTTTTAAACAAATATTTAAATACAGCATATGATTTTTATTCCAACCACCTGCTTTTTTAATTAAAAATTCCAATTAAACAAACAAGAGTTTTATAAAGTCTAACTGGCAAAATCAGGACACCACACTAAACTGAATAAAGCTCAGGCTGTATGCAAAATGACTTTTACCTGAATTTTGAAATGAGACCAGAAACTGAACAAACATTCTGAATTACAATAGACTAAGCCATCTCCTGTCACAGATATGCATTCTAAAGAAAAAATATTTGAGGCTGACATTTGTCTTCCTTGGTTATTTTTTGTCAAGAGTTTATCTCCTCTGCCCAAACAAATCTAGGTAACACTTCCACCAGTAATTAGTTGTCATTGCGGAAAAGCCACCATTAATTCTTAAACTATCATCCAGCTCCTTATCAGCTTCTTAAAGGAGTGAAATTCCATCAGAGAGCAGAGGGATAGATAGCCATAAATAAACAAAACCAGAAATCAATGATGATTACTTAACAAGCATGTTAACATGATAAAATACTAATCTCAATGAGAAGAGAAAGTTTGCCTTGGACCCTGCACACTTCAGCCAGACTAGAGAATAAACTCTCTATATTTAGGATTTGCCCAGTCACTTTCTAAATCATGATCACATTAAGCAACAATTTTGGACCACTGGAGTTGTCATATTTGCCTTGCCATTGTTCTTCATCCATAGTTGAAATTTTAAACAATAGATATTTAAATATAAATACATGTTTAAATGTAATAAATGTTCCTAAAATATTTTTAGAATGCTAAACACTCTGTTTTTCCGTTGTTGGATTCACTTTTTCATGCTTTCAATTTTTAAAAGACCTTCTAAAACAGCAATGAAGTTATAATAAAACTGGAAGAGGCTGAAGGCCATATCTTAAATATTAAAAGAAAAGTACTGAGATATGGACAATTTCACAAACATTCAACTGACTGCTTGCAATATTAAAAAAAAAAAAAAGAAGAGTAAAGCAGAATGTCTGAGAAACAGCAATGTGCATTAGGTAGTGGATCAGCTATTTCTGTCCATACTTTAGTAATCAGAAAAATATTTCATTCTACAGATTTGGCAGAAGATGGAGAAGCTATGTTTTTAGCCTACCAACCTTGACAGTGTTCCTTTATACAACTATGCTTTTTATTTATCCCCTTCACGTTGACTTCAAGTCCCACATTAGGACAGAGATTCAGATGTAATAAACAACATATAGAAACAGTTTCTATATATTCATACATACACATATAGCTCCACACACATTGGTAAAACTTCAAATATTTTGAATAAAGCTTCACTGAAAAACTAGTCATTGAGGCCACAATGATTTCCCAAGTATTCTATGCCCACATGGACCCAATGTTAACTGCACAGTGCTGTAAATTATTTGTATCGGCAATACTGACTACTGAAACAATATGGAAAGTTTCATGTATAAATAAATTGGTCATCTGAGTCCTTCATTTTGAGTCTCTCATTTCATATGACAGTGCCCTGAACTTAATGCTAAAAATCAGGGACTACGTTAGTTACATATTGCTTGCTCCAATCAAAGAGAGTAGATCTTACTCACCTCTTTGCAGATGCAGGTGATTTGGCCACGATCACAGCATTCCTGTAATCTGGGATCTGTAGCAAACAACGGAGATCAACTATGTCATATCTTTTATGGAAATTTAAGCTCATTAAGTGCCACAGATAATTTTAAATTTTTAAGAATTTAAAAAAATATCTAAAGTATCAAATACTTCAAGTTTAAGCAAATAACCCTAGCTTTGAATGCCTAGATTTTACAACCTTAAAAATATTCTTTTAATGTTGTTTTCTGTGTGTAATTTCCTACATTTTTAAAAACAAACTGAAAAAACCCAAGTTCCATCATGTGGCATCATACTGAAACCCATATGGATCATCAGCAGGGATGGCATATTTACATCCACTCCACAGACCACTACCACTTGATCAAACAGAATAACTGATAGCAGTAGTAGGTTGTCATCTTATGTGGACCAGCACTAAAGGGGGATGGGAATCTTAACCAGAGGGTTTCACAGTTATTTGCGGACAGCAGAGGAATCGTGAGACTCAGGAATCTATTTCAGGTTCTGGAGGGGAGTGTGATCTAGTGGGCACAAATTCTTCTGCTCACTCCTCCCAAGCATAACTTGCCCCAGTCTGGTCTCTTCCCCACCCTTGGCTTCTCATCCGAGTTCCATTCTCCACACTTAGCCAGTCCCAGTTCCACCCATTTGCAGTCTCTTTCTTCCCCCTCTCCCCACATCCCTGTTCTCCATCCCCACTGGCTCCCACCTCAGGCTCCTTGTCCAATCTCAGTGTTCTTACCCCCACCCATGGCTCCTTGTTCCAGTATCTTTCCCCAGCCTGTCCCAGTTCTCCCCCCAGACCTTGGCTCCTTATCAATTCTCTCTCTTCCCCGCCTCACCACTGGTTCTGGATCTCAATCTACTCTCCCCCTCCATCCCAATTCCCTCTCCCTGTTCAGTCCCGTCTTCCTCCAATCCCAGGGTCCGTGACCTGATCTACCATCCCCCCTCCCCTCGAGTTCAGGTCTTGTCCCCTCCACATTTAAATCAGGCAGCTTCCTCCTTCATGATGCCTGGGTCCAATGGGGAAGAGGAGTCACTGATAGCACAGAGGCTCCCTGCCCCACAGTTCAGATGCCCGGACACCTTTAGCAAGGAAAATCCTCCTCCGCCCCAAGCTAGAACATGTGGATAGCGGGGAAGCGGTAGACATGGTATATCTTGACTTTAGTAAAGCTTTTGATACTGTCTCGCATGACCTTCTCATAAATAAACTAGGGAAATGCAACCTAGATGGAGCTACTATAAGGTGGGTGCAAAACTGGTTGGAAAACCATTCCCAGAGAGTAGTTATTAGTGGTTCAGTGTCATGCTGGAAGGACATAATGAGTGGGGTCCCACAGGGATCAGTTCTGGGTCCGGCTCTGTTCAATATCTTCATCAATGATTTAGACAATGGCATAGAGAGTACACTTATAAAGTTTGCGGATGATACCAAGCTGGGAGGGGTTGCAAGTGCTTTGGAGGATAGGATTAAAATTCAAAATGATCTGGACAAACTGGAGAAATGGTCTGAAGTAAATGGGATGAAATTCAATAAGGACAAATGCAAAGTACTCCACTTAGGAAGGAACAATCAGTTGCACACATACAAAATGGGAAATGACTGCCTAGGAAGAAGTACTGCAGGAAAGGATCTGGGGGTCATAGTGGACCACAAGCTAAATATGAGTCAACAGTATAACGCTGTTGCAAAAAAAGCAAACATCATTCTGGGATGTATTAGCAGGAGTGTTGTAAGCAAGACAAGAGAAGTAATTCTTCCGCTCTACTCTGCGCTGATTAGGCCTCAACTATTGTGTCCAGTTCTGGGCGCCACATTTCAGGAAGGATGTGGACAAATTGGAGAGAGTCCAGAGAAGAGCAACAAAAATGATTAAAGGTCTAGAAAACATGACTTATGAGGGAAGATTGAAAAAATTGGGTTTGTTTAGTCTGGAAAAGAGAAGACTGAGGGGGGACATGATAAGTACAAGTAAGTTTTCAAGTACATAAAAGGCTGTTACAAGGAGGAGGGAGAAAAATTGTTTTTCTTAACCACTGAGGATAGACAAGAAGCAATGGACTTACAGACCTTGTAAAATTAGACAGGCCATATGAAAGAGGCATACAATGCAAGGTATGGACAAGGTAGGGCATGCCATTTAACATATTGAAGGCTCTATTTCTGTTCAAACATGATTGTCTCATTTTTAACTGCCAAATCTCCAAAGGTGATTTCCATTACTCAGTTCATGCAAAAGCTAAGTCAACAACCTGGAACTGTTCAACAATTGCCCTTCAAAACTTAAAACATGGGCACTGGCAACTCCTAGCAGCAGAGAATTATGATAAGTCACTAACATCTAATGTGCAAGCTGTACAGTGTGTGAAGGTGATATGAAATGTTCACTAAATAAGCATGCTCAGACATATACACAAACATGAAGCCCATGAAGACTTTATGCCACATAGTATCCAACTAATGGGTATCCTGGGGTGAAGAAAATCCAATTTCATCTTCGATTCTCATAGGATCTGGACAGGAAATGATCATGGAATGGCCACCAGCAGCTCCCAAACTTTACAATTTGACCTATGGTTTAAGTTCTTTGTAAATAATCTCCATTTTTATCAAGTTGAACTTGTTTCACACTATTCAATACATCCCATTAAAGATACTAACAAACATTTAGCAGACTGTAGTATTCAAAATGCATGACATCCAGAGCATATTTGGTAATCATGAAATATAGATGATGTATTAAGTTCTTCCTGATCAGCGTTACATGGCCATTTTATGAAGAGATACACATATAATATAGGCCTCTGGATTGGCTAGAAGGCACTAAGTGTGCCTAAATCCTGGGAAACCAAGTATGTCAGGTCCTTTTAGTTAGCTTACTTTCCTGTAAGTCGTTCTATGAAGCAGAGAAAAGATAAAGGAAGTGAAATAAGAAAAACACCTTCTAAATATCCAACCCCAACCCCAACCCTCCCCCCCACCCCCGGAGTTTGCCAGCTTCCAAAAATCTGCAGATGAGTTTTATACTATTGCCATCTTAACTTGAGAAAATTTTACTAATGCCAAACATATATAACCAGCTAACCACTGGCTGAGAAACAATCACTGCCATAAATTTGCCAACTTCCCCACACCAGTTTAAAATAATGTCATAACAAAAGTGCATCATGGAGTTTTTAGTACAGACAAAAGCTATACCTATATAAAACAATCCCTTGGGTTGAAGAGTGCCCTCCATTTGACAGGTTAGCTATGTGTGTGTTTTAGGGTGGGAAGCATTCATGTTCTTCCAAAGCATTGGGTATTAACCACTGACAGCAGTAGGATGTTACAATAAATATTTTTCACTAAAACAGCACTTTACATTCACAAGTCTCTTGACACTTTATAAAAGAGGGCAATACTCACTTTACAATGGAGAAACTGGGGTACAGAAGTTCAGTTTCCCAAAATCCCACACTCTAAGTAGGTAGCTGATCAACAGACAACAGATCAAGGTCTCTTGACTACCAGTCATCTGTTCTCATCATTAGACAATGCTGCCTAGGTGATCTTTAGTCTGATCTATTATAATTGTATTAAATGTCCTCAATTAACATTTACACTTTCACAATTAAAGATCCCTACTCCTAACTTTTTATTTCGTGACTATAGAGTGGGAAGAATGTTGATGACAACAGTAGAAAAAACAAAAAAACTACCATTTTAAAACTCTCAAAAAAAATGAGATTCCTCCTCTCTTCAACAGACTTTAAAAAAAAAAAAAAAAAAAAGGACTAAATTTCACTTGATAGTATCTTTACTGATGTTCTAAACTCAACAAATGTAGGGATAACCTGAAATACAACATTGAAATGACAACTCTCATACACATTAGTAGGCCTTGCTCACCTCTTCTTGAATGTACTGAAGCAAGAATGGAGAGGCTCTCAAATTATCAACCGGAATATTAAAGAACCCCTGTATTTCCTTCTGATGTAAATCCATTGTAATAAGGTGAGTTAGACCTTTGAAAAAGAGAGTAACACTTAAAAGCCACTGCATGAAAAACAAGCAGGACAAACCTAAATATTATCTGTAGATACCAAATTTACTCCTCCTGTAGTTTTCACTAAAGGCTGTTTAGAACATCAATATTCTGTTGCACTAGAACAAAATAATATTATAGTTTTTATTGCAGTACACATGGTAAATAAATCTCCCATTAAGGTTTATGGGGTATCAAATAAATAGGAGTACTTTGCATTTCTATGGTACCTTTTACCAAAGCCCTCAGAGCAATTTAAAAAATTGACTAAAATTCTCAACACCCCCATAACATAGATAAGTGCCACCTTCTTTCCACATTTGAAGAAATTAAGGCAGAGATTAAGTCATTTGCCCACGGTCACACAGTAAGATTGTGACAGAGCTGAGATTATAACTCAGAACTCCTGACTCCCAATCCCAAACTCCAATTACTCCCACACTTCTTCCCATGAAACGAGAATCAATATTTAATTAAATCTACAAGACCAGACTGCACAATTACACAGCATATCTATGAAGTGTTCATTATAACCGTCCACATGCTCCCAGGACAGATGCCATGGGAAAGAGCAGGCAGGTGGTTGCCCTGGAGGAATCAGGGGAGTTTATCCCATTCTCAGATGCCACCTTAAAAGTAGGTGTAAGTGGGATCACCCAACAGAGAGGTAAGAGAGAAATTGACAGAAATACAACTGCCCAAGAGAGAGTTAGGAAGGGAGAGAAGGGACCCAGCAGCAGTATCACAGCAAAGGAACCCCACCTTCCAGGATAGCAGGAATTCCAGCAGACTTATCTCACCAACTCAGCTTGGCATGGACTCTGCAATGGATGTTATAAAGACGTGCTCGTTTTTAATGCAGCATTTCACTCACCACTTTGTATTGCTTTTACGTTGAATTTTCCTCTCTAGGGTTTAAAATTTCCTCTTGCTAAAAATCTTTAGAGCTATTTCTTATTAAAGTTCCCAGTTTAATGCACACAGCTGCCTCGAAGTTAAATATGACATCAGAAGCCCACCATGCCCTGATTATTTCACAACATCCTGCATTCTTACCAGCTTTGCACATCATCGAAGCCAGTAATTTAGAGACAATGGAGCCCCTTTTCCTCATCTTGCACTGCTTGCTGTATGGGAAGTAGGGAATCACTCCAATAATGCTTTTGGCACAGGAGGTTTTACAAGCATACACCATGATCAGGAGTTCCATGATCGTAGTATTCACATCCCTGGAATGAGAAGTTTCTAGTTCTGTATCCACGCATAAATATCCTTTAGCTGAATTCAATGTGATACCTACATCTGCTTCAAGGGACTTGAAGAGAAACTGGCAATTGAAATATCCCTATAAGGAATCCAAATATGCACCCTAGGTAGGCCACTGGACTTGACATACTATTTTAATTTCTCACTAGGACTATACTTCATAATTTTTTCTCCCATTGCCTGTTCACCAGCCTCATTGTTTAGAAAGACATTTTCAGGACCGTATCAGCACAACATGTTGCTGAAATAAGGTCTACATTGTAATTTGTCTCCCACATCTTTGCACCACAAGATAAAAATTGAGTAAATATGTTTTCACTACGGACAGGACTAACAGTTTTAGATTCCCACAATACATTCTCCTATTATTTTGGCCAAAAATAGGCCTTGGCCAACACTAGGCTTTAAATATTTAGCAACTAACATCCTATCTCCTGTCGCTAAAGAAAAAGATTGAGTGGCATATATTAATATGGAAGGACTGATCATCAGGTAAACCAGTCCCATCATTTCTGCTGCTGTCAGAAACTAGAAGTATGCCTTTGAATTGTAGAGCTGTGTATGTTCTTGAGAACATACAATTATTATGTTGCTTAATGAGTCACATGAGCCATTTGCTTTGAAGAGAGTGCTCCCACATTTAAAAGCATTAAGTGGTGCTGCACTCAGGGTAGTCGATCACAACAAGATTTTAAAGAGAACAAAGTAAGGAACAGAGTGTACATTGCAAAAGAATGCAGAAACCCATAGAGCAAAATCCAGATTCATCTGAATATAAACAACGTAAATGGTCAGATTATAAGACGGTCCCCCACATACACACCTTTTAAATCACAGAGACCAACTGGCCCATCTGTGAATCTCTCATATGTACAAAAAAAGAAAACCTAAGACAAAAGAATTCTTAAAGATAAACCATGTCAGAAACTACTCTAGTTTCTTTAGAATATGTGTTAGTTGTTACTCACTTTGAAACTGTTTGGATGATAAAGACATCTTTTCCTCTCACAGATTCTTGAATCTGCACCCTTGTTTCTGCCAAGAAGAGAAACATACAAAGATTTAAGAAACATACAACAGGACTTCATGGAATTACTCCATGAGGTCGTCATACGCTATAGACAAATCTAAAATATAAATAATTTCTCCGTCTTCAAACTGAAAGAGAATAGCCATATTGAAGACAATACTCATGGTCAAGTTTACAGACTTGTGTGCATTAGGTGCACAACTCCCACTAATGATAACGTGAGTCATGTGATAAGTTCCCACATGAGGACTTGAAAATGTATCCTTTTGGATCTAAAGAAGGTGATGATGTTGGCTACATACATGAACCCTCTGACCAATAATATTGCACCATGACAATACCAGCATTTAATGAGGATGAAGGAACAATATAAAAAAAACTAACTGGAGAGAGACAGCATACGACAGTGTGTGTGTGAGAGAGATGTATGCTAGTGATCACATACAAAAATAGGTGGTCTGGAAGAGTGACAGTCCTCAGAAGGCAGGAAGAGGAGAGGTGAAAGTTCACGCGTATGAGAGAACACAAATGTGAGAAGTGGTGCTTCGCTTTTCTGTAAATAAATTCTAAGGAGGGTTAGGTAATATACTGTCTCCCATAGAGGCAGAATGAGAGGTTTATTTAACCATTAAATGCTCACCTCTGTTTGGCTCCTGATAAACCTGAACTTTGCCCATCTCTACCCCCAAGCGACTGAAGAAAAAGAAAAGCAAAAATCAGTACATTACACTAAAGGGAATGGAAACCAGAATAAAGAAGCAGCCCAACCCAATGTTCATAACACTGTACAAATCTACACTTCATAAATCACAGGACAAATGTTTTACTATGAGATTTCTCACAAATTTACATTTTACAAGAGTTACATTACAGGTTGATCTAAGCCTGTCCACAAATAAAAACAATGTAAAAAAAACTACCAATGAACAAGAACATATAACTTGGAATTATTTTAGAAATTATGCAACAAGTTTCTCGTCATCATCATCTACATGGTGTCACAGATGTGCATGAGGCTTTACAAGACTGAGTTTAGATAGGTCCTTTCCCAGTGAAATTTCCCATCAAGACTGGAGAAGAGGTGAAATGAGGGCAAGAGCAGACAAAGCTGTAATTAATAAGCTTTTGAAGGTTAAACTATGGTTTAATATGTCTGTATTAGCATAGAAAAGCCAATTACTAAAAAGGGACTAATAGCATGAATGATGCACAAATATCCCCACATCCAAACACTGTGTAACCTCAGCCCTCCCTCAGCACCCTTCTTGTCTGTCCTTCCTAGGTCATGTCTAATTTAGACTGTAGGGAAGTGACCTGTCATGTCTGATATTTCTAAAAGCATCTTGCACGCCTATGGTCATGAAGTAGGATATAAATTTATTCAAGACATAATAGCTCTGCCAAAGCTACTAGCGCACTTTATACTAAAAATCTTCAACATCTAAATAAATTTGTATTGAGCAGAAAGGACAAGCCTTGATAACTAACAAAGCCATTGTACATATGGAATGAGAAAACAATGGATTTTTCTAACATATAGGATTATTTATCACTATCCAAATAAAAACCTTTGTAACTTATGTCTCCTAAACAATATTAGTGTGGCCTTTCACAGCTTGCAAATGAACAGGCCGAGCTTAAATGTTTTCTTTGTTATTTGGTGAATAAATTACATAGTGAATAAATTACACAGTATCTTTTCAAAATTCAACTACTATAAAGATTTTAGGTGAGGTACTGACACTGACTACCTATCGCTGGAAATTGTGTTCTCTAATTTGCATGTCCCACAGTAATGAAAAAAGGCTTGTCAGGGGCCATACTACCCTACATGTAGTTGTTAAATGCTATGGATGCCAGGGCAAGGTGATCCAACAACAAACCTCTCCCAGCTTGCTATACTGAGCTTCACGGTTAACACCTTTATTACATGTACTACAGACTGCCCTGGGGCACAGTTCCCTAATTAATTCTTTAAAATGATAGCTTAAAACAGACATCTATAATATTTATTTTCAGAGGTGCAAGATTAGTTGATTAGGAACAAAGATTTATTGTACTGACTGTGTACCTTGTAGGTAACTTTATTTTTCCAAACAATGGCTCAGTTTTACTAAGTAACTTTACAAAATATTCTTATCTGCTGAAGACAGATCTCTACTTCCAACCCACCTGCACCAATGTCCTACATGCTATGATGGCAGCAAAGACTAACCACTGGATATTACTTACTCAGCAATTCTCCTCGATAGTTCCGCGCATGATGAATTGGAATTAGCTGAAAACAGCACAAGCCCACCCTTTGTTATATTCATGATGGCTCCTATTTCAGTTGATGCCACACAAAACATCAAAACCTACTTTGTCTTTCCACTTCTAAAATACTGCAAAAAAATAAAAGACATATTAAGCATTACAATATTTACTGTAGAAACAAGTTTCCTTTGAATATGGGCTGCAGACTAATTCATCCTCCTGTATCCTCATACAGAATTGTTTGGTAAAAACACAAAGAAAGAACAATACTACAAAGATGTAATCCTTACAACAATCCTTTGTGCCACATAAGCATTACTCTTTTTAAAGATCTGGGCATTAAACAGTGCACCCAGCAACAAAACACGAGGAGTGTGAGTGGAGCCTGTCTTCTCTACCTTGTCTTGTCCTCAGCACTCATGGCAGCATCTAGCAGAAAGGCACCAAGAATGATTTCTTCAAACTCCCATCAGATCAGATCACAAATTCTACATAATTTTTAATCATCTTCCTCAGTTTACATCTGACAGGGCAGATTGTTTGCCTACCATTTTTATTTATTTGTCTAATTAACTTTCTGCCATTGTCATTCTCCCGTTGGAGCGGCGAACCGCGGCCAGTGGGAGCCACGATAGGCTGGACCTGCGGACGGGGCAAGTAAACAAACCAGCCTGGCCCGCCAGGGGCTTTCCCTACACAAGCGGCTGCCCCAGTTTGAGAAACACTGGTATATACTATACATGCACTGTATATGTTTGCTTATTTTGCAATAAATTATAAACTTACAAATAAGGGTTGAACTTAAGGAAGAGTTCAATAAAGGTGGCAGATGTAACTAATGCCCTCTTGTACAATGCATCCACTTGGTCATGTAGCTGCTGTCATTCTTCAACACTAAAACTGCTCCTATGGAAACACCACAGAGAAAACAAACGTCAAGAGACAATTTAGACACTTTTATTCAATAAAGGCACACACACAAAAAATCAATGAATCACTTCAGGATTTCTCCATACTCTTTATTCCAGTTTGTAATATCACATTTTTATGCCACAAGGTAACAGAACACTTCAGTGACAGTATCATGCTGAACTGCAGCCACCATTATAGAGATAAAATAAGTACAATCTTAATTAACAAAGTGCTAAAAACCAGGGCTTTGGAGCGGAGCCCGGAACTGGAGCGCGGAGCAGCTTCGGAGCAGTGGAGCTGCAGGCTTTTGCCTGGAGCTGGAGCAGAGCTGGAGCACAGCTCCAAAGCCCTGCTAAAAACTCAGCAACTTGCTTTTTAATATATAAATACTCCAATACCTTCAAAGCGTATCAACTGAACGTATCAATACCAGCAGCATAACTCAAACAAAGGAAGTTAACTTAGGCCAATGTCTCCATCTCATACCTTACCACAAATGTTTCACAAAAATGACTGTGTATTAGTCACATTTATGGAAGCAGCTGTTGGATTCAAACACTGACCAGCTATATTAAAGCTGTTTTACCAGCTTTTGCAACTAGACCTACTCTTACTCAGTTTGTCCAGGATGCAGAAGCTATATTTGGCTCATCAGCAGTTGAGAGCCAAGAAGAGGATGGGTATTTCCTACAAATAGAACACTCCACCACTGTGCAGCACTCTGCTCAGTTCCTGTGAATCAAAAACTGGCTCATGATACCACAGAGGCTTTTAATAGAGAGAGGTTGCAACAGGTACAACAGTAGAGCAGACCCCAGGAGTGTGCCTCAATTCTAACCTTAAAAAACCACCTGTTCAGTTAATAAGACAGATCAGACCTCAGGTCCTTTCGATCCCTGCCCTCAGCTGAGTCTATGAACAAGGAAAACTATCAGGCTATGTCTACGCTAGCACTTTTGTCAGTACAACTTACGCCGCTGGGGTATGCCCCTCTGAGTGACATAAGTTACACCGACAAAAGCGTCGGCATGGACAGTGCTATGTCAGCAGGAGAGTCATAGTTTGGGGGTTCTCTATAAAGTGAGCCTAAAAACAATAATACTTAATATTTGTGCAATGCTTTTCAAACCTTGGCCTTGTTCTTATCCATTTTTCATAGATGAGGAAACCCAGGCAGAAGAGTTAAGAGATTTTCCCCAAAGTTATGAGTTCCTGGCTTCCAATTTATTGTTCAGATCACATCTCACTTTTTAGTAAGACAGGAACATTTTCATGAGTGCTTTTGAAGCGCCAGTTCTGCAGGTCAGTACGGTATACTGCAGAGGTAACAATTGGGCTAAAGTAGGGGAGGAAATGATAGGTATATGCATAATGCAAGCTCCAGGATGGTAAATCTGGGGGTAACATTGACCTGGTCATCCTGAAACAGGTGTTGGGGTTACCGCCAACTCATTCGGCAAAACTATGAGTAAAGTCATAGCCTCGAAACAAGTGCATATCTATGCACACACATAACCCAATGGCTCTATCCAGACTGACCTTCGAAGTTTGGATCAGGTTTGAGAAAAGAACATTTACCCCAGATTGTCTTCCCAGCACCTCCCCCGAGCCCCCAATTCCTATTGTGTTGCTTTGGCTATGAAGTAACATACCACAGCCACTCAGGTACATAAGGAAAATAACATTGTCGGATTGAGCCCCAGTGAAAACTGACCTCAATTCACAATAGATTCTAGACCCCCGGGATTTCAGGGCCCTTTGATAGAAAGAAGGGAATGGAGACAGAAAGCACGCAAATATATCACAGCTTCCAGAGCATAAAGGAGATGAGCCATTGCCATCGGGTCCCGCCCTCATTGCTCCTACATAGAGGACGATGGACAGAGATGAACTTCCCACCCCAGGGGAAGGCTGGGGATTAATCCCTCCCCTCACACACACACTTCCCCTCCCCATTTGCAGTTGGAAATATTTAGATGATGATAGAACCCAAAGGTCCCAGTTGGGATTGGGAACCCGTTGCGTACAAATACACAAAGGAAATTCCCTTCCCTGGAGGGCTTACAATTTATTTCCTATGCTAGGAAAGGAAACTCTCCCACCACAGGATTTCCCCTTGGGAGGAGGAGGAGAATGGGGATGAACCCACCCCCCACCCCACCTACCCAGAGGCACGGAGGGGGGGGAACAGGAATGAACCCATCCCCCACCCCACCCCACCCCGCCCCTGTTGCCCTGTGAAGCGTGGGGGAGGGGAGGAAAGGGTACAGCAATGAACCCATCCCCCACCTTACCTGCCCTGAGGCGGGGGGGGGGATGGCAGTGAACCCATCCCCCACCCCACGCCCCGAGGCGGGGGCAGACTGGACCCGAGCCGCCCCAGGGGTGCCCGCCTCGCCCAGGCAGGGGGGACGTGACGGTGGCCCTCCCACGCCGGGGGCAGAGCGGGGCCGCCCGCGGCGGGAGGTGAGCAGCTGCCCCCCGCCGGGAGATGGGGAAGAGCCGCCCGCCCGCCGGAGGATGGAGCGCGCCCTAGGCGGAGATGGCGGCGTGGCCGAGCCCCTTACCTGCCGTTCAGCGCCACTCCGGCCCCCCCGGCTCCCGGGAGAAGGCGGCGGCCCAGCCGGCCGGCGGAGGGAGGGGAGGCGGCGGCTTGGCTCAGCCCCTCGCCGTCCGGCTGCAAAATGGCGGCGCCGTGCGAGGGGGAGGGGCAGGGGCAGCCGCGAGGCGCGCTACTCCCCTCAGCGCCCCCCCTCGGGTAGT